AGCTGCTAGTTTGGTCGTACATATTATTTATATCGTTTATTGTCAAATGAGAATCATAGTTCCTATGATTACTGTTGTTACATTGTTTTTGAAGCTTTTTTTTGGTGATTTAGAAAACATATGGTTAATCTATCTTATGGTTAGTATTGTTTGACTTGCATCACACTAGGATTTGAGCACACAGCGTTGTAATACGTTTTTTTTAGATATGTTGGTTTATCTAGGATGTTTCTGTTGCGCGTTGTCGCTTCAAGACAATTCTAAAGTAATCTACAACCTTCAATTCTTTTGCGCGATTTAAAGAATCGATTCTTGGCGCACTCGGGTTTTATTTTAAATTAATGAGTTATCTTTTCATTTTTATGTTGTTTTTTAAGTTTTCAGACGTTTTTAAATATATTTCCCCGCTAGTAGCAGTATATATCGACTCTATAGCACAAAGTATTCACCTGACAGATTGCCGTGACGAGGCCTAGTCCCGCGCTGAGCCTCCGGCCTCGCCTAGATTGCCCGGCCGGCCGAGGCTGGGGCCTGGGCTGCTACCCCCCCCCCCCCGCGCTACAATAATACTATTTAATCGCTGTAATTTTAGTATTTACCGAGCCTATAATAGTAAGTGCACACATTGGGGTGGAGGGGTAGAGAAGAAGACGTGACACTTTGATGAATTTACCTCAGCGTTGCGTGTAAACTTTTTGCATTTTGAACGCGAATGAGAAATGGCGTCCACCCTACACAGCGACGGCATGAGTGCGTTGCCAGGGGCAACTCGCATCGGCGTTTCGCGCATGCGCAGCAGCGATCCGGTCAGCAAAAGTAAGTAAATAAATAAAAATCGCCCTCAATCGTTCATTAAACCACTTTAAAGGTGACGGATGGCAAAACGGAATAGCCTATGCCAAGGGCGCGTGCTGCCCGGCAAAAAAAATTCTACACGAACCCCGTGGTCCGAGAGCCAAATCCCTCACAAGCGAGCGTACACAGACGGACAGACAGAGAGACAAAAAATTAGTTGTATAGGTTAGATACTGTTTGAAACTTGGAACAAGTCGTAGCGAGTTTGTCACTATATTCTTGGTTCTTTCGGTAAAGTCATGTAGAAGGGAAATAATGAAGTAATAAAAATAAAACATAAAAAATAAAATTCTCACGACGTTTCGGCCACAACGCAAGCAGCCGTCCTCAGGTGAAGAAACAGAGCAGTCTGAAAGACAGCGTCCTAATGACACTGCTAAGCTTGGCAGCGTATTTTAAGCTGGGTGGGAGGAGAGCGCCTTGACAAAGGAGTTTACATATCAACAGAGGAATTTAGCATATTGATGACAAATGCAGATATGGGATTAGTCACTCCTTCTGGAATGTGTAGGCGGTGGGGGGTCTCAAAGTCATTATGCTAGTGTATTATGTAGGATTAGCAGTAATAAAGCGAGGGAAATTTTAATAATAAAGAACTGCAACAGCCCAAACCACCGCGTATCAAGGAGTTTACAGTGAGGGGAAAAAAGTATTTGATCCCCTGCTGATTTTGTACGTTTGCCCACTGACAAAGAAATGATCAGTCTATAATTTTAATGGTAGGTTTATTTGATCAGTGAGAGACAGAATAACAACAAAAACATCCAGAAAAACGCATGTCAATAATGTTATAAATTGATTTGCATTTTAATGAGGGAAATAAGTATTTGACGCCCTCTCAATCAGAAAGATTTCTGGCTCCCAGGTGTCCTTTATACAGGTAACGAGATGAGATTAGCAGCACACTCTTAAATGGAGTGCTCCTTATCTCAGCTTGTTACCTGTACAAAAGACACCTGTCCACAGAAGCAATCAATCAATCAATCAGATTCCAAACTCTCCACCATGGCCAAGACTAAAGAGCTCTCCAAGGATGTCAGGGACAAGATTGTAGACCTACACAAGGCTGGAATATACTCTTTGGCTTTTTCGGTAAAGTCACGTAGGTAAAATTAAATATTAAATAAAAGAAAGCAAGATAGCTGTAGCTGTAGTTGCAGCTATCTTGCTGTGACTGTTCCACCTGAAGACGGAAGCTTGTGTTGCCTCCGAAACGTCGTGATTTAATTTAGTTTACTTTTATTTTAAATTTTATTTTACCTACGTGACTTTACCGAAAAAGCCAAAGAGTATGAATCCTTGCAGTCATGAAAGCTTCAAATCGAGAATTAAGGCTGGAATGGGCTACAAGACCATTGCCAAGCAGCTTGGTGAGAAGGTGACAATAGTTGGTGCGATTATTCGCAAATGGAAGAAACACAAAAGAACTGTCAATCTCCCTCGGTCTGGGGCTCCATGCAAGATCTCACCTCGTGGAGTTGCAATGATCATGAGAACGGTGAGGAATCAGCCCAGAACTACACGGGAGGATCTTGTCAATGATCTCAAGGCAGCTGGGACCATAGTCACCAAGAAAACAATTGCTAACACACTACGCCGTGAAGGACTGAAATCCTGCAGCGCCCGCAAGGTCCCCCTGCTCAAGAAAGCACATATACATGCCTGTCTGAAATTTGCCAATGAACATCTGAATGATTCAGAGGACAACTGGGTGAAAGTGTTGTGGTAAGATGAGACCAAAATGGAGCTCTTTGGCATCAACTCAACTCATCGTATTTGGAGGAGGAGGAATGCTGTCTATGACCCCAAGAACACCATCCCCACCGTCAAACATGGAGGTGGAAACATTATGCTTTGGGGGTGTTTTTCTGCTAAGGGGACAGGACAACTTCACCGCATCAAAGGGACGATGGACGGGGCCATGTACCGTCAAATCTTGGGTGAAAACCTCCTTCCCTCAGCCAGGGCATTGAAAATGGGTCGTGGATGGGTATTCCAGCATGACAATGACCCAAAACACACGGCCACGGCGACAAAGGAGTGGCTCAAGAAGAAGCACATTAAGGTCCTGGAGTGGCCTAGCCAGTCTCCAGACCTTAATCCCACAGAAAATATGTGGAGGGAGCTGAAGGTTCGAGTTACCAAAAGTCAGCCTCTAAACCTTAATGACTTGAAGAAGATCTGCAAAGAGGAGTGGGACAAAATCCCTTATGAGATGTGTGCAAACCTAGTGGCCAACTACAAGAAACGTCTGACCTCTGTGATTGCCAACAAGGGTTTTGCCACCAAGTACTAAGTCATGTTTTGCAGAGAGGTCAAATACTTATTTCCCTCATTAAAATGCAAATCAATTTATAACATTTTTGACATGCGCTTTTCTGGATTTTTTGTTGTTGTTATTCTGTCTCTCACTGTTCAAATAAACCTACCATTAAAATTATAGACTGATCATTTCTCTGTCAGTGGGCAAACGTACAAAATCAGCAGGGGATCAAATACTTTTTTCCCTCACTTTACATATCAACAGAAACGTCGTGAGAATTTGATTTTGTTTCATTTTTATTATTTTATTATTTCCCTTCTACGTGACTTTACCGAAAGAACCAAGAATATGAATCCCTGCATTCACGAAAGCTTTAAATCGAAATGTACTGCCTCTACGGGGAGGGATTCCACATAACTTTGAGATCCTTCAACAAACTCCGGGATAAGAAGGCTCAGCTAATCGAGTCTCTCACCTTTCTGAAGAGATGCCGCGACTCTAAGGTAATACCAATCGCATTTACACTAACCTCTGCTGCTGTAACTTCTTCTAATGCGAGACGAATTCTGTCTAGAACTAGCTTAGTTCTTATCTCAGAGACAATCAGACTTACGCGCACCGAACTAGATCAGTTAGACAAGACACTCTACAAATCACACTTATCATTGACGGCAACAATGTCCACATTGGATTGGAAACATGTAGACAATGACTGCCTCTTCAGCTGCCACCATGTCGACAAAATGTAAGGACAACTTGATTTCCAAATTTAACCTCTCCAACAAGAGACCGGACCCACAGACCAAAAAGCTAGACGTTAACAAAGTCGTAATTAATCGCAGTAACAGTTCTATTTCCAATGGTCTGAAATCCGTTTTAGCTAAAGGGCTAAACTTTGCAGTTACACCTAGACACATACCAGTTAATGATATCATTACCCAAGTAGACGTGGCTCTCAGGGGCCTGGGTAACATTGCTGCAGACGTAGCAAGATCTGAAATCGCTGCAACCCACAAAAACGCTAAGATGCCAGCTAGCAACATCAGCAAAGATGAGCGTTTTGAATTATCTAAATTAAAAAAGAGGGATAACATTGTCATCCTCTCAGCCGACAAGGGCAATGCCACTGTCATCATGGACAAATTAGAATATAACAACAAAATTCAATAACTACTCAACGATGGCAGCTATACAAAAATAAAAAGAGACCCCACCAACAGCCTCATCATTAAAACCAACAAAATAATTTCTGATTCAACCGCATTAATTGATCAATCCAAACAGTTCTTGTTGAAACCCACTGCGGCCAGGTCACCAAGATTGTATGGCTAACCAAAGATACGTAAAGAAAATACACCCCTTCGTTCCATCGTCTCTACTATCAACTCCCCCACCTACAAACTGGCTCGTTTTTTGTCTGAAATCCTGTGGCCTTTCACTGGAAAAACCACCTCTGTGGTACTAAACTCTACTCACCTGGTATCGACAATCAAGGTGTTGTATATATGCCCTTTTTCCATCTTTGATATTAACAAGAAATTTGCCGGTACACATAGGTTTTTTTTCTCCTCGAAATAATGATTGAAAACAACACGTAAACCAAAGAGCCGCCTTGTCCTCCCGCAGCGTGAGGGAGCAGAGATAAGAGAGAGGTGGGAAATTCCTTGCTAACAAGGCGTCAGCAGACCTCAGCAGATAAATTAAGTTGGGGAGTTTACAAGGCAAACATTGTAATTAACACCATTCACCTTAAAATGACTTGCCGTTACCCAACCCCACAGACACGAAAATTAATAAAACGGAGGAAGAGTCTTTGTCTTCTAGCCAACGTGGTAGAGCAGACAGAGACCAGAACTGACATTCCAAAGTCAACACTCCTCACCACGGGTGGCGTGCGCCGCGCGAGCAGAGATAAGGATGGGGGGCGAGCAGAGATGCCGGGGCTTGGAATGCCAGCATGTCAGCAAAGACACCAGGCAAAGTTAAGTTAAAAAAAAATTCACAATACATAATTTCATACATAACATTAATGTTAATTCTATTCACCGTAAACTATACTCCACTTACACAACTTCGTTAAACATAAACTACATGACTTAAGCGATGTTAAACCCAGGGTCAGAGAGAGAAAGAGATCCTGGCCGTCTTTGTCTCCCCGCAGCGCGGGGTAAGAATATGCATACGCTTAAGGGGGCACCTTCCCTTGACATAAAGTCAAACACCATGATGGAAAGCTGACAACAGACCTTGGGTTACATACAGAATCATGGCTGCGAGTGGTGCGATACCAAACTGTGAGGGATAAGTGTTAACTTTAAACCTTAACCATTTCTTTGTGCATCAGTGAAGGTCGCACCGGAGGGAATGCCGCCCCTCCCCCCAGGTTGTGCAACACAGACAAAGACGCCTGTGAGACGATTTGTAACACCTGTTGTTTTTTATGGTTTATGGAAAGAGGAGGCCTGGGTCTGGGAAGCGGTGAGAGTCGGTCACACAGGTGGGAATATCGCCTCCCTCTCACACCGGCAGACAGAGAGACGCCTTCGAGACGGTTTGTAACATCTGTTTGTTTTACTTTGGTGGTTTATGGAAAGAGGAGGACAACAGATAGCGCACACAAGGACACACATACGGACGGACACACATACGGACGCGCATACGGACACGCGCTCCAGACCACGACACAGCTAAATTAAAAGATGCTCCACCTTGTGGGGAGGAGTCAAGAGGAAGGATTTTGGCATAAAAGAGAACGCTACAACATTGAAAACTCAGTTCGTCCGGAACTCAGCTGAGTTCGGTCGGCTCATCGGAGCCGGCCTATCGGGGCTCAGCTCATCGGAGCTCAGCTCACCAACAGCTCAACAGTTCGGCCGGCTCATCGGAGCTCGGTTCAGCTCGGCTGAGCTCAGCTCAGCTCGGCTCATCAGCTTGCCGATAGCTCATCAGCAAGCGGGCAAGACCCGCTTGGCAGCTCAACGCATCCCTGCAAGAGATCAACCGACACCGACGCGGAGGAGGTCTCTGCCGGCCGCCGGAGTGGCGAGGGTCGCTGCGAGCGAGCTGTGGTCGCCATCTACCGACCGAGCTCCGCAACTGCAGGACCGTGTCAACTTGTCAGCTGCGTCAGCCGAACCCGAATCAACAATAAGGTTGTTCTAAAGTTATCTTCGGTTTCAAGAAGAGTTGCCATTCCAAGGTGGTACATTAAATATCAACTGATTCATGAAAAACACTGCTGCCATTGAGTTACAAAACAACTCAGTCGTACGTGTTTGTATTTTCTTTTCAACGGCATAATCTTGCCAACGAATCCATTATTTGTGCCTTTGAGAATGATAATAATTTTTGATTGTCTTTTTGTATGAATACCGTCGCATAATATTAAGGACTTTATTCATATTTTCCATACGTTCGTGTTACGCTGCATAAGAATGAATTGCCCTGTTAACAACGTGATAAGGATTGCCTATGGATCAATGAATGAGCATCCGGGAGTACTGTGTGGCCGATTTCAAATATAATAATTAATAATAGAATGTTAAGGTTTTTTTTAGAATAGCTTGCATGCATGTTTGAACGACTTTCACTAACAACAATCGCATTATGCGGGGGGAAATGTCAAAGTGAAACCACGCAGTCATTGATGAGACTGTGTTGATACTGTGTTGTAACTCCAAGCCGAGAGTTGCATCTTCTAGCGTTAAAGTTTAGTTAGAAATAAAATTGATTAATGCAGAAGTGGTCGTGTGATTCTTTCCTATAATTTTCGCATAAGGACTGTATCCTGCAATGAGATATGAACTTGGTGACCTAAAATATAAACACACTAATCCACTCAATAAACGTTAAAGCGAGAATAATTGCATTACACTGATCGATAATACGAGGGAAGACAATGAAGCCGAGTTGACACTAGCATAACTGCATACGATTAATTGCATTATTCCGATTGATAACCGACCCTCGTCAACGAGGCGGGGCCTGATTATCATAAAGGCTGTCATTAACATAACCACACCCACTCGTATAAATTAATACGATTATCCCTCGAATTAGCATACTTTATACGCATACTTACACAAATGAACATACTTTCAGATAAAGTATGCAAATTTCAAATTTCATTTCATTTTTATTATTTTCATCAAAATTTTCATACACCACATATACAACAAAGGGTATTTCCCTGTCCCCAGACGACCTGCTTGTCAGTTTTGATGTGGTTTCCTTATTCACCAAAGTTCCTGTACCTGACACCATCGCAATCATTGAAGACTTGGTTCATAAAGGACTGAATACTGAGGTACCCCCCTGATGAGACACTGCTTAACCAATACATACTTCACCTGGAATGGATCTTTCTACAAACTGAGGGCACCCCAATGGGCTCCCCCCTATCTCCGGTTGTAGCCAACGTTTTCATGGAGAAATTTGAGACTGACGCCATCCAGACTGCCACTCTACATTATGGAAGAGGTAAGTGGATGACACTTTTGTCATCTGGCCACATGGCCGGCCTGCTCTAGATCAATTCCTCGACAACATCAATTCCATACACCCAGCCATCAGATTCACCATGGAAGTCAAAAAAGATGGCAAGCTACCCTTTTTGGATAGCCTAATAAAAAAGAGACTTGATGGTTCAATGAGCCACTCTGTCTACTAGAAAGCTACCCATACGGATGCTTACCTAAAACCGGATTCCCACCACCATCCATCCCAGAAGAATTCCCTCATCAAGACTCTGCACCATAGAGCCCAATGCATATCCGACCAGGAACCCATAGCCAGTGAACTCAAGCACGTACACCAAGCTCTCAAGGCTAATGGTTACTCCGACTACACAATCCGCAAAGCCATCACTCCAACCATGAAGAAGGATCCTCTTGAGGAGCTATTCAAAACCATCACCTTACCCTACATTGCGGGGGTCACATTAAAAGATCTCCAAAATCCTGAATAAACACAAGATCCAGGTCCGATTCAACACATTACATAAAATCCGTGATCTGGTCCCGTCTGTAAAAGATGTGATTCCAGACATACAGTACCCTAATGTCTACAAACTAAGTTGCCTCTGTAGTAGCAGAGGCAACATTGGAGAAACCAAACGACACGTCTCGGACCGCTTTCGTGAACACAAAGCAGACCTGAAACACGGTAGGACCAAGACCTCAGCCGTGGCAGACCATTGTTATAATTCAGTGGGTTCACATGATATTGACTTCTCCAAGACGGAGGTTCTCTGCAAGCCATCCGGCTACCATGAGAGATTCGTTCATGAGGCCATCCACATATACAAACACAGAGACAATTTCAACCGAGAAGATGGATTCTGGCTCAGCAATCATTGGAAGGACGTGATAAACCATTTCGGGTCTTGATTGTGTTCACGTTTACGGTGACTTTCAGACCGCATTCCATTCGCTGGCATTCTCTTCACGGATCGGGGTATTTGCTCCGCTGCAAGTTTCCTGCTACTACTCTCCCACTGATATATTTATTTGCTTCCTCTTAGTACCTTTCATGCGACAGTCAATGGTATGGTGTATAGTAGATTGTATAATAATAAAAAGTATAAGGTTAGTGTATAGTAACGCAGTGTATAAATCAATGTTGGGGTTTGTCTATGGCAGTGTATAGTACGGTGTATAGTCATGTGATGTAGAAAAAAGTTTAGTTGAAGGCATATCAATATAATGCATAATGTTAGAGCTTATATTGGGCTGTGTATACGATATCATACAGTGTCGTTTAGATTGGAAGGTATAATATTGTAATGTATAGTAGTCGAGTTTATAGCATAGTTGTAACGCAGTACAGGACAGAGTAGCGCACCGTGGTTGTTTCTCTATATCTCCCCCCTCCTCCGTTCCGAGCATAGATGGATTCGTCCGTCTGAACAACGCTCGCCGCTTTCCATGGTGCTAACGTTAAAGAAGAAAACGCCACTTTTTTCGACATAGAAGTGTAATGTATAATGACTTATATTGTTAGTAGCTCAGCTTATTGAGAGTATATTGAGGTCATTTATTATATTGATGTAGTTTATATTTTAGTTTTTTATCAGTTTACTATATGGTAGTCATTATATAGTGTAGTGTATACCCAGTTACTTAATGTTAACAGATCAGCTTATTGGAGAGTATATTGAGTACATTGATTATACTGATGTAGTTTATATTTCGTTTTTTCACATCGGTTTATTGTATGGTAGTAGGGTATGAAACTCCCTTTCTTGTTTTCCACATAATGCACTAGCTTGATACGCGTGGGTTGGGCTGTTGCAGTTCTTTATTATAAAAAAAATTCCCTCGCTTTATTACTGCTAATCCTACATAATACACTAGCATAATGACTTTGAGACCCCCCACTGCCTACACATTCCAGAAGGAGTGACTAATCCCATATCTGCATTTGTCATCAATATGCTAAATTCCTCTGTTGATATGTAAACTCCTTTGTCAAGGCACTCTCCTCCTCTCACCCAGCTTAAAATACGCTGCCAAGCTTAGCAGTGTTCATTAGGACGCTGTCTTTCCGAAAGCTCTGTTCTTCACCTGAGGACGGCTGCTTGCTTGCGTTGTGGCCGAAACGTCGTGAGAATTGTATTGGTTATGTTTAATTTTTATTGTTTTATTATTTACTTTCTACGTTACTTTACCGAAAGAACCAAGAATATGAATCCCTGCAGTCACGAAAGCTTTAAATCGAAAGAGTCTGTCACTGTGACACTTCTGTTATTATACTTGATGTAGAAGCTCTCACAACCCAGTCACTCTCTCTGCTTCTCCAGGCTTACCTCCGTCTTAGGGGCCGTCCATAAATTACGTCACGCACCTAGGGGGGGAGGGGGGTCAGACATTTGTGACGATGTGTGACAAGGGGGGGAGGGGGGGTTTGAGAAATGTGACGTCACATAAAAATGCACAACTTTAAATATTTCTTAAATAGAATTGTTATAACAACACTAACTTTGATTAATTTTCATTATCAACTATTTGATTATTTAAATTGACTAAGGTCACCTTTTATTTATTCCATGGAGCATTTTGCTTCTCCTTGGGAGAATGGAGAAGCGTAAATGTTAATAAAGAATTAAAGCTTTCGTGACTGCATAAATTACACATTGGTTTTTAATTTTAAATTATATTAATATAATTTTATGGTATTTCTACATACATGACTTTACCGAAAAAAACAATGAGTAAGCATAAATGTTGTAATTTTTTTTAATGATTGTTATTAAATATTTTGATTCGAATGATTATACCAGGGCTTTCAATTGTTGAATGAATATGTGATTGTTATAATTGTAGTATTCATTTTGCTTCGTTCTACAACAAAGTTTCAAGTATTTTTTATAGTCTCAATTACTTATATTTTATAATTATAAGACAATTTCAATATAATATTCTGAACATCTGCAGCTTTAGTTAGACGTTGAATATTTTCAAGTAAATGTTATGCTAAATTTCAGCTTTCCAACGCGTCCTTTTTAATACGTGTTTTCCCCTACAACATCAGAGCGCAGCGCCACATTAAATACGCACTACAATGACAATTTGAAGCATGTTTTATTTTTAAAATGGAAATATGGTTTTGGGGGTGGGCAGAGCTTTGTGACGTCATATTTTTTGTGACGCCGTGTGACGAGGGGGGGAGGTGTTGTATATGAGCCTTTTCCAAAATTGATATTAACAATAATATTTGCCGTTATATATATCATTTTTTTTTTTCAAAGAAAAAAATAATCAATAAAACCCGTAAGCCAGGCATACGAAAAACCAGATGTCGGTCATAAACAGGCCATTAATAAATAAATAATAAAACTCTCGAGGCGAGGATGTTAGCAGCTATCTGCGAAGATCTCCAGATTAACAAGAGTTTGATGTGCCCTAAGGGAGGTCACGCAGAGGGAAGCCCTCCGCAAGCCAGAAATGAGGACGCCCACGGGTTAAACCATTGTTTTTTTAAACAACGGTTAAAATTTAAAATGCAATAACAAGAATAAGCTAAAGTGAGCTGTCCTCGTGCTCACTCCAATTAAGACCAGGCCACCAGATACATCAGTGAATTATTATCCAATAATTAATTCGCTATCAAATGATTTTCACCTTTAATACTTTTACTGTTAAAACAAAGCTTGGAGACAAAAAACAGAGTCACATCAAAGGTTTTCGAGAAGGAATGAGACAACGGGCAAACTTACGAAAGAGTTTAAACAATATCCCAAGCAACCCCGACCACCTTTGTCTCTCTCACAGCGCGGAGAAGCAGGAATTACACCTTATCACAAGGGGCCATCTGGAAAAGCCAGCCGGGTTTGATGAGGAGACACACCCCACCCCACACACGGCAACCAGACAAACAAGTTTTAAAGAAATTGCAATATAACATTAATAATAACGTGTTAACCTTAAACGATATTCCATTATAGAACCTTACAGAACCAAGGGCTATGGATTCCAACAATCTGGAAACGGACCTCTTAAACTCAGAATGAAAATTATTTTTCTCTTTAATAATTCCATCATAACAATGCGAACCTCGGGAAACCGAGAGGTGTCGGGAGGACGTAGTTACAAACACGAGTCTTGGCGAACATGGGACCAAATGGTATTTGAGAAATATAAAGTCGAAAGTATAAAGAGAGGCACTCCCGACCACCTTTGTCTCTCCCTGCAGCACGTGATAAAATGCATACGCTCGGAAGAGCATCTTCACTTGGAAATAAATCAAATACTATGAATCACAAGCAGGATCATAACTGTGTATGATAAGATACCAACTGTGATGTGAAATGTTAAACTTTAAAAATCTTAACCATTTCTTTGTGCGTCGGAAATGTGTATGAAAAAGGTCGGGGGGGGGGGACCCGCCCCTCTCTCTGGATGAACAGCGTAGACAGACAGACGCCTTGGAGATGAATCGAAGTGTCTGTTGTCTTGATGTTTATGGCTTAAGGAAAGACCCGAACAGAACCGTGTCATAAATGACACACACACAAACATACACACTGACACACGAACCCCCCCCACCGACATACGATCAGATCAAAGATAGCTCCGCCTCGTGAGGAGGAGCCGAGAAGGAGAGAGATTTTTGGCATAAAAAGGAGCCGTTTCAGCATTGAAATCAACTCATCAGCCCTCGGGGGCAGCTCA